GAAGTGGACTCTAAGTAGTCTAGTTAATCAATTTCTCTCATACAATTTTTATCATGTATACAATGCTTATACTCATGTAATTCAATCCTATTTGTATTCAAACACTTCAGCTATAAATTAATACATTTCTCTTGCACTCAGTGATTGAAGTGAGTACAATTTCTCATTTACTGTTACCAATGAATAGAGATAGAGATAATGCCAAATCTGTGAGGAGGAAGAGGATGCTAATCACATTTTTCTAAAATGTCAACTCTCCAAACAAGTATGGAAAACTATTTTGGATCACCATCTGGTCCCTGAAATGGATGAAGGTGTAGTTTCTAAGTGGAGAAAAATTAAGCAATTATATGGCCAAGATCATCATAGGTCTTTGAGGGGTAATTTGAGTTTCCTTCTTTGGTATATTTGAAAAATGAGGAATGCAAAAATCTTTCAAAATGAGGACATGTACCTAGATCAAATAATCAACTTTGCAAGAATTGTTAAATCCGATTATTAGGGAGCAAATTTCAGCCTTGAAACTTCTCCTAAAAGCAAAAAGAGTGTCTAGGTTAGCTGGATCCCCTTGGAAATATGTATTCTAAAGAAACTTTGTTGCTTCTCTTAGAGTAGAAGGTTGATGTTCCGTAGGCATCACTGCTAGAGATCACAAAGGAAGGTTGATAGCAACAAAGGTGAGAGGTATTGGAAGATCTTCTATCATGGTTAGGGAGATACGGGCTGCAAAGATAGCTCATGATGTTCTAACTCAATTGGGAGGTCAACACATTTGCATTGAAGAATATTCTCAAGTCATCATCAATTGCCTTCTTAGAAAGATCACTCCTCCATGGAGATGTAGCAACATAGTGAAGGATCGCTAAATTTTGGTCGAATAATTAGGGTTCCAAATAGTGTATAGGCGCACATGGCATGAAGGAAAACCAAGCTATGGATTCGATTAGGCTTGTTTTTGTTTAGCCATATTTGCTTTCTTTTGTCCTTAATTGTCAAAAAGAAAAAGGCAATTTAATATTGTCCCTTATGCCCAAAATGTTTTTCATACTTTTCAATACTTAAAAATCAATTATAAATAGAACATTCATGTAACACACAGATCTATAAAATGTTTCATGTGAGTTAGGTGTTTTCCATGTTTCCACCTACCTCCATGTCTCCTATGGTGGTTTTTACTCAATTAAATATAAATAGAAGTGGAGGATGTGTATTTTGTCAAAGATAAAGATTAAAGCTATTTGCTTAAGACCTTAAGGTTGTATTTTGTTTAAAAGAAAAGGTAGGGGAAGGAAGGGAAATGTCCAAACCAATGACAACCTATAAATGATAGTGGTGTTAATAAATACATTTAGGTTGCATTTGGTTGTTATGCAAATCTTGATCAAGTGTAAAATTGATATGTGATTTAGTTTTGCTTTCATTTGTAATTATGATTTGTATTTCTACCTAATACAAAATGTACGTCACCTTCCACCTACCTTAATCCTTTCTCAAATAAATTGAGGACCATCATCCTTAGGTAGATAACTTGTTGCCCAAGTAGCCTAACCAAAGATGGTGGGGGTAAATTGGGTTCTATAAGGTTTCCTCCCTCGGGTAATGCCTTTTCAAAACTTAAATGTTAAACTGAAATTATAGAGAGCAACAATTTGATAACGAGATAGACAAATACAACACAAATTAATGTTTTTACCAAGCAGATATGCAAATATAGAACAAATTATTCAAATGCAAGAGTAAGAACAACTAGGAATGACAATTTTCCTCATTTCCCCGATCCCTGTGGGGATCCACCCAAATGGGGCGGGAGTGGGGATGATTTTCCCCCCACGGGGATGCAGATGGGGAAATTTTCATCCCCGTTAGCAGGGACGGGGAGAGCACTCCCCGCCCTGTGGGATCCCCATACATATATATGTATATATGTATGCACAGGTTATATATGTATATATATGTACACATATATCTATATATTAATATTTTTAAAAATATGGTTGAATATGTGTGAATATTTTCTAATAGGATTGTAAATTTTAATTATTTTATTTTTTTTAAATAAAATAAAAAACAAAAACAAAATAGTTATTAACATTATAAAAATCACAAGGAATGGAGATCCCCACGGTGATAGGGATAACCTTTCCCTCATTAGCGGAGGCCGGGCTGGGGATGGGGACAGGGATGGAGAGAGGTTTCCCATCCCCTCCCCGCCCAGTTGCCAATCCTAAGAACAAAAAAATATGGGCACTAGCACTTAAAGAGATTGATGATTCTTAGAAAGAATTAATAAAGCACAAATACATTTTTCAAGCTTTATTCCAAGGATGAAACATTTTCAACTAGAATCTCTTTACTCTTAGTTATTCTACTGCTATTGTTGTCTCTTTTTTACTCTTAGTTAAACTCATGCATACACATACATATATATAACATACCAATCAATCCTAAAAAGTGGATGATCACTTCATTTTACTTTGTATTTTGCTTCTCAGGCTCAGTTTGGAAAGAATACAAATACAAATATGTATAGTACAAATATAAGTTTAGTGATACAGAATACAAGATTTTGCACTGTACATATTTGTATTTATAATCTTTCATTTTCCACACTCGTTCATTTACACCAATACAACTGAAATATGTACTGGTGCGCATTGTAACCTAGGGGCCAAGGCTGCATCCAACGTTACGTGAACGTTGTATACACCATGCAACTGAATATATGAGAAAATGTTGGTTAACTACTTAAAATTGTGTAGGGAGTTGAGATTATTACTACAATTTCCTTTCCATTACCAATATTTCAGTCAAAGTATGACGAGCATGAAGTATACGAAAGTCAAATACATCAAAGTATAACTACATCTTTTTACGCATTTAAGCATGCTTTAATTTCTGTTGAGAGGAGACAAAAAAAAAATCACAAGAGTTTAGTCAAAATTGATATCCATTAATTTAGTATTAATAAAATAATTTGATATCCATTAAATTTTCAAGTAATTAAGCTATCTACATACAAGAACTACTCAATCTACCACCGCCCAAAATTGATTCATTTCAATAGATTTTTACAAATTATAAAAGTAACAAATTGATAAAGGGGTCTAAAGAGAAGAGAGGGACCTGAGGGGATATATCATACATTTTGACAAATACTAATTAAATTAATTTATATATAGAAAATCTTGAAAAGCCAGTTCTGGTGAGACCGTCAGAATAGCTAGTATATATTAATAAAATTTGATATTCCTTTTCCACAACCTCCCAAAACTGATTCATTATATTATAAAATAAAAATAAGAAAGGACTGAAAAAAATAAATAAATAAATAAATAAAGGAGATATTGGTACATGAGAGGGGAAGTTCACCAACCTCCACAATCTTTTAAAAATGTTTTTTTTTTATCTCCTTTTCTAATGTGTCTATGACAATTATCATTACATGATTTTTAAAATATTTCAAATGTCTCAATCCATGGTTTTAGCAGCAGAGAGAGGTGAGGTGAAGCCAATCTGCCTTACCTCAACCGCCTTCTAGGTTGCAGTAGGGGCATTCTCCTCAGTTAATTTTGTGAGGCGTAATCCTCATATAAAAATGATTAAATTTAAAAATTAAAATTAAAACATTAATATAAAATATTTTCTAGTTATAGTTGACTAAAAAATAGAACAAAGCAATTACAGTTAAAAATCAAGCATAATGTCTTTAACCCTAAAATTATTGTTTATTTGATTTTCTTTTGTTTGCTCAATATTGTAATAATTCTAATATATCATTTAGTGTTTTAATGGAATTTAGATTTTCTAGTCACAAAATTGGTCCTCACACCCACCTTACAGCTTTTGCAGCCATAACATAGGTAACATTTTTATACTTGTATATTTTTATTCATGGAGTCTCAATGTATAGTTGCAAGAGCTGTGAAATGACTGTGAGGACCGATTTTGTGAGGAGCAAATAAATTTATCAATGTAGTTTTACTACCGAATGTGAAAATATAATCTCTACAAACTCTTTTTATGCATTCATGTTTGCAAGCTATTTTGTTTCAATAAAGATGTGGTAGAGGACCAAAATCATTCATTTTGAAAAATTGAAAATTTTGTTTTATGCCCTTGGAAGGAATTTTTGGCTGGGGAAGGTGGGGGTGGAGTGAGGGGTTTGTGGGGATGAAGCCTTCACCTCTACACCCATGTCGGGAAGCAAATGCCTTCAAAATCCTTAAGGCTTTGTTTGGATCTGGTATAAAACGTCATCGGTGTACTTTTACACTGATGATGTTTACACTGAACCATATGATAGGTGACCATATATTGATCTTCATTTGCACTTCTTACAAACACCAGCAAAATCAAATCGATATAAACTTTTATACCATTCTTGATTTACACTATTCCAAACGCAGCCAAAATACTAATCGTAGCACACCATACATTAACCCAGCAACATAAGAGGATTACTATAATAGCTAAGTACAAAGATTAGTTAAATTATTCAAAATTGCATAAAGTTATATATATATATATATATATATAATTAAAAACATGGGATCATATTAAAAAGAATGTTCACATATCTAATGCATGTACATTTTGAAGATTTAAAGATTAATTAACCTCGCTTCTCTGACATCTAACTACCTCTCCTTGACATTTAACTTTTTAAAACCTTGCCTCAAACCGCACATGTTTAGAAAATAATGTGCAGGCTTCCTGGTCAAGATTGCAATATTGAAAAGAGATTCCAGGTTTTTAGATCAATTCAAGATATTCCTTTAGACATTATTAATAATCTGTGGAAGGAAGATTATATGAAGATTCCTGTTTTATATATTTTAATGCGTGGGCTCGGTTGAGGGTATTAGTGTTCTCTTTTCTATGGTTTTTGGCATCCCTATTTTATTATATCTTTCTTTTGGTGTTGTTTGATTAATAAATTTCTAAGATGGCCGCCCTTACATCTAGAGTAATTTTTGGGGTTGAAAAGAAATAAAAGATAGATTGGCAGTGGGTTTTTTAATTAAACCCTTTTTAGAAACAATGGAGGTTGGTGAACTTTAAAAAAAAATAATAAAAAAATGGCGACATGTAGGGCTCAACATTAATTTTCAGAAAATTTCCTAATTCTTTTGGCGAGGTCATCAATTGGCTGCTTGCTCAAAACTAATTAGGAAATTTAATATATCATAGTTGAGATCTAACTTAGATTGCTTTTTTGGAAGTGACAAAGGGTTGAATTTACGACTAAAATTTATATTTGTTCCAAGCTTTATCCGGCCTCGGTATGGAACAAGTGGTCCCAACCCGGATAATCCAAGAGTCCGCGTTCTGTGCACCCGTGGATGCATTGGACGCGTGAACCCAATGTAGAGTGACACGTCGATCAGATCAATATTAACGTCCGCTTGAGCATTGACGTGGTCCGTTGACACAATCGGATGGTTCATGTGGATATGAACCGGTCTGGGACAAAAGGGCTTCATTTCTTCGATTCTGTTTCCCTGAGAGCTCCTTCCACCAAACCCTACTCATGCACCAAATCCTTTCTCCATCAGCGGCAATAGAGCTCCGGCAGTTCATCGACGGTGACAAAAAGACCTCCGGCGACGGCATATTCTTCTTCTCCTCTTCTCTTCTTCTACTCTCCATTCTTCTTCTTCGACAAGTAACTCCAGTGGTGGGGCTGACAATCATTCTTCTTCTCCTCTTCTTATTCATCATTTTGATTCAAAATGATTCAACAAATCATTTTGAATTTGTTGAATTTTTCAAAATGATTGGTTGCATCCATCCATCCAAATGTTTTGTAGGTTTATCTCAACAGCAAAACCTTAATTTCCAAATTGAGATTTCCTACAGACAAGAACAGGAACAGCAAACAACAAAAACGAAAAAGATCTTACTACAGAGTTTTATCAATAATCTTGCATCGGAACAACAAAAACCAAAGATGATATTAAACAAAAAAGAAGAAGAAGAAGAAGAAGAAGAAAGAAGAAAAAAGTTAAAAGACTGGGCATCGCCGCCTACCATCGGACCTACCATCGGAGAAGACGATGAAAAGAGGAGAAGAAGAAGAGAGAAAAACACATCGCCACCGGAGGTCTCATTGTTGCCGTCGATCAACTGTCGGAACTCTGTTGCCGCCGATGGAGGAAGGGTAGGGTTCGGTGGAAGGAGCTCTCCAAGCTAAACAAAATCAAAGAAATGAGGCCCTTTTGTCTGTGTTCCACACACGAACCGGTTCATGTCCGTGTAAAACATCCGATTGAACCAATCAGACTATATTAACCCTCGAACGGATGTTAACATTGGTCTGATCGACATGTCGTTTTCTCATTTGCAGGTTCATGCATCCGGTGCACCCACGGGTGTACGAATGCGGACTCATAATCCAATGGCTTCAATCAATTAATGGACCGGGCCCGAGCCAAACTTGAATTGCTCATTGTTTCAACCCATTGTTAATATATTCTTGAAGATTGAAGACCAAGTATTAAGATTAGAGGTTCTAGTCGGGTGGGCTGGGTTTTAGGTCAACCCATGCCCAATCCTAAGAATTGAAAACCCATGCCCAATCCTAAGAATTGAACCTAAAGCCCAAGCTCAGTTTGAGTCCGAGGTCAAGCCCGAATTATTCAATCCAAGCCCAGCCCGCATTGGGCCCGGGCCCAAGCCAAACTTTAATTGCTCTTGTTAGATGTACTCTACAGAAAATTAAAACATAAAATATAATTAATGAAAGATTAAATAATATTTTAAATTACATATTTTCATGCAATGACAACAAACAAATGAAAGGATATCAATTAGAAAGCATTTGAAATCAGTCCATCATGAACTAAAAATTAGTCCAAATCAATCTTTTAACAAAACTAAAAATTTACATTCAAAATTAGTCCCTCATGAACCCATGCATAGTAGAAAAAAGATAAAATAAAATAAAGAAAAATATAACAAGGATGCTGATATGATATATATACCTTTTGAATACATGTTTTTCTCTTCAAGATACTAAGCAGTACAATAGTGATTTTGGCTACAGGCCTACAACTACAGTAACGTGCCAACATTAGAACTTAGAACTTGTGAGTTTGTGATTTCATGATTTGTGAATCAAGACTCCAACTCTCGTTACTCTTCAACTCCAAGAGGAAATTTTAGTAATAGTATTAGGGTTTTAGAATTTGCATTTTTAAGAGGTTTTCACTTTTCACTCATTTTGGACTTTTGGTGGTTTGGCCTTTGAGTTTCCTTAATTAATGTCGCAAACTCTCTATGATGTCATTTGAATTAAAAGAATTTGAAAGTTAAAAGAATTTGAAACATCAAAGTCTCACAAGGCACAAAGAGCGAAAGAGGGAAGTCGTGTTTAGAAAAAGAAAGTTAAGAAACTAAGGGATATAAATTTATTTTTGAAATTTTATATAATAATAGGGATATATACCTATTATTTAACTTTTGAAATTTTATTTATCGTATTTATTTTACTTTTGTTATAAATTTATTTTTAGTAATTATATATTTTTATAACTTATAGGTTAATACTTATTAGAGATCACACTATTTATTGACTAATTCAGTATATTTTCAGTATTTATTATATTTTTGTAACTATTGTATTTTTATTATATATCTATTATATTTTCATTATAAACTTATTTTCAATGATTGTGTACGTTTGCTATAAATTTTCAATAATTATTGGAAATTAAACTATTGCTATTTATTAGAGATTAGACTATAAATTTAGTTGAAATTAGAACTGCTCAATGATTGGTTCAGTGCAGTTGTAGGCTGTTTCGCTAACCAAACCGATCTGGTCAAGTTCGCAGTTTGTCACTTGAAACCGATTGATCATTAGTGAAAACCCACAAACTCGGGTTGTATCAATTTGGGTTTATTTTCGATTTAGTTTGTTTGTTCAAAAGATTTAAACTTAAAAATTAACTTTAAATTTCATAAACTACAATGATATTATTAACAAATAAATTACAAAAATTAAATCTATGAAATAAAATATTTTAGACTAAGAAATATGAGAATTTTTCTACTTTCCCATATTAAAAAAATTAAATTTAAAATATAAAATATTAATATATATTTATTAAACCAAAATCGATCTAAAATACTAGAAAACCGACCAACTCGGGTTAAGTATGACCGGATTGTTTATTAAAAAGTTAAAATATAAAATAATTATGTACTCTTATGTATTTCTATTGTTTAACTTTCGCTTAACAAAGCCCATGCATCGCACGGGTCCCCGTCACAATGCCTCACCTTGCTCCATTATCCCCACCCTACATTCTCTTTGACTTTCTCTCCTCTCCCCTTCCCACCACTCCCATTAAGCCATGCCACCCGACTACGTAAAAATATTCCTATAATCTCTCTCCTAAGGTATCTCATTTAAACCAATAGGAAAGTAGAGGTGTAAATCGGGTCAGGCCGCCCACAGCCTGGCCCCACCCAACACAATTTTGGACTGCCCTGGCCCGGCCTGGCATGACAACCCATGGGCCGTGCCAGACCTGGCACGATGGCCCGTGCCGTCTTGGGTTTGGGGTTTGAAGTCCTGGGGTTTGAAAATTATTAGAATATTTTGGAAATTTTAGGAAAATTTATTACATTTGATAAATTTTGGAAAACCATTGAAAAATTATGTAATTTTCATTACAAAGTATTGAAAATTATTAAAGATAAATGGCTATGGGAAATGGAGAACTATAATTTGAACAAATAATTAAGATAAATTAGTATAATATTGAAAAAGGAAATTATTGGTTAGTTTATATCAGAAATTATAAGATAAATTAGTATAATTATGTAAGTAAATCATTTAAAAGGAAAATAAATTATTTAATAGAAATTTAAATAAATTTGAATAAATTTTCAAAATTACACAAGTACAATAAATTTTCTAAAATTTTCATAAAATTATGTTTTTGAATATTAAGAACAATTTAGTGTACTTTTAGAAATCTACCATGTGGTTAATACTCATTATATCCTTTTGATCATTTCTATCATCAAATTGAATATTGGGTTGATGGGGATAGTGTTTTCAAAATTAGATCAAACCAGATGGTTAGATCGGAAAAATTGGGAATCGGACACCGTTTCACCTCAAAACCGCTTTTTGTCCAAAAACCGTTTATTTGGTTAGCGAATTGTTGACCTAGGCGGTTGAATCGTCAACCCAAACAACAATTTTTGGCCTTTTTTTGTTTTTCTTATTTTTTTATTTTTTTTTTGTCAAAGTGGGTCATTGAACTGAACAATTGGACCGTTCGACCCTAGAGCGGTTCCCTATCTGGTCTTATTTTAAAAACCTTGGATGGGGAGTGGGTGCCTTACCTTGAGCTTGGCTTAGTGTGCGGCACAGCCTGGCCCATGGACTAGCCCGACCCACGGCACAACACATGCCCGTGCAGGCTCGGGCCTTGGGCTATGCCAAATCGACCCTCCAAATTATCCTAGAGGAGGGAGGTATGACCTGGGATGCCTCATGGGCCAACTCGGCATGACTCGCACTTTGTGTGGGCCACATGTGGGTCGTGTCGTGTCAACCTAGTATGACCCAATTTACACCTCTACTTGAACATGTCCAATACTGGGGACGAGAAGGGCAATTTGATGATTCTTCATCCTTGATGTCTTGATGAGGAGTGGGGTGCCTTGCCCTTGAACTCACCCAACATTGAGGAGTGGTTACCTTGCCCTAAACCCGCGTGACACTAGGGACGGGGCGGGGAAGGGGTAGAGTGTCTTGACTATAGGGCAGTGAAAGGGGTGGGGTGCCCTGCCCTGAACCCACCCCGTTGTTATTCCTATATAATTGTTAATTATTAGTGGAATTAATAAAAATGTTAGCGTTTATAATTATTTTTATTTATTTAAAGTAAATTAAAATTTCATTTAAAAATAATAAAAAGAATAAACATTATTACAGTTACTACAAATTATTAAAAAAACTAAATTTATTAAAAAATATTTATTCATATTCAATTAACAATGGTTATTTTTATAAATCAATATTAAATAAAAAATAAAATTATTAAATCTTTCAGATTTTCCCGTGCACTGCACAGGTCCCTGCTAGTATATATATATATATATATATATTGATATCATTACAAGTTTTTTTGAACATTTGATTAACCTTAATTAGTTTTGATAAATTTCTACTAATAATATATATGGTGCATCGAGTACACCATACCAAAAGAAAACATTGTTCAGATGTTAAACCTGAACAAATGAAGAGTAGAATTTAAGGTGATTGATTGATCGAGATCTAGATTTAACGTGTAGCACTGCAACCAATATTAGTGAATGCACCGTAATTGAATTCTAATTTTAAACAGAGAGTTCCACCCCCTCTTTCACTACGAGAAAAAATGGCCTATTGCTAGAAGTCACATAATTACCGGCTTTGCCTTTTAAACCACTGGCATATACCTGAGTTGGCGGTTTAATGGCCACGAGTATTGGTTGTATTGGCCTAGCTCACAGATGCCGGCCTAGAAGACAAAGACAGCCACCATAGGACCCCGGTCCAACCATTCAAAAGCCGGCAATTATAATGAAACTGTTGGCTTAGGCAATGAGACCAAAACAATGGCTTATCAAAGAACCGTTGTAGATATAAGCCCACAGTCAAAACCACCATGATAGAGTTTTTTGGACAAATTAAGGTTTTCTTTCTGTCCATCACCTTAGTTCCGTTGATGGATTCATTTGTCATTTTAATAAACTACTGCCTTAGTTATAGCATTTAATCAAGAATTATCAATTATCATTTAATTAAACCGTCGTGATCCTTGGTCGAAATTGAAAATTTCTCATGTTTATATGCATGAGATAATCTTTTTCTTTAACATCCCTATGTCAAAGTCATGGAAGGGGTTGGTTTTTACAATTTATCTGAAATGTGGAGGGAGCTTCTTGGAGGAATCAATTAAAGTTCATGGGAGGTTAAAGAAATGGTCAATTACTATAGGCAAGGTTTCATCAATTTACTCTTTCTTATTAGTTTTTACTATTTTTATTCTAAAGATTTTTTATTAATAAAATTAATTTGAATTAACTTTATTGACAAATGCAACTTTATTAGTTTATTAATTTATTAATGTTTGTTAATTTCATTACTTGTAATATATTTTATAATTAATTAGATGTAATTTTTATTAATTACATTAATTATTAAGTCATTTATTTATCAGAAATAGTTATTAAGTTAATAACAAACAAT